AAAGACAAACTACAGAAACGTACCCGGTACCCTCAAAGGCAGACGAGTCAATATTCCGCAATTCAAAACCGAAACCGCATGTAGTTGTTCCCGTCCATCTGATTGGGTGTGGTATTCATATACATCGCGAAATATCCGTTACTGTGTATTACTTACATAACGCAATCAAACGTATCTAATACAACAGCATGACAGTTCCGATCAAGAATACGACACAATGGGCAGAGAATCGTCCTAGGGTACGTTTCTGTATTCCCATTAAGGCCAGGTACATATCCGTATACAGAAGGTACATATCTGTAGTACCCGTACCGACAACGTTTTCAGCCTAGTATCATTTTCAATTTTCATTAATTAACAGATATATACCACAAGAGACATTACTAGTGAATGTCATCATTTCAAACAACTGAAAAGCATCAAGTTTACCGCCTCCGTGGTGTAATAATGGACATAGAGCGTCCGCCCGGAGTGCGGAGTTTGGGAGTGGGGGGAGGGGGAAGGGTGTATGTGTGTTTGTCCTTTCATTTGCGATGCGTTGTGCGTTTGGGTAACGCTCGTTTATTACTGTTCACATTTAGTGCCTATCCGGCAAAGCACAGTTGAAAAGAATCTCGAGTTCTATTAACGCTGTGGAATTGAGGGCAGCATTTTATGATGGCAAACCACACTAAAAGGCAGCACACCCACCCACCTCTCTCTCTCTGGCACGCGCATGGCCATGGTCACTGGCCCAGCAGAAAATGTTACGTAATAAAACGCAAGTGAGCTGAATTTGGTCTGGCTGCAAGGGGGTTGGGCGGGGAGGGTTCCTATCATCCGTCAAGCGGTGTGTGTTTGAGCGAACGCTCGTGTATTTCTGTGAACTTTAGTTGGTTCTTGCTGAATGTTCACGGAATTTCGCGCAAACACACACCGCTTCGCGGATATATTTGCGGTGCATATAAATACCACTGAGTCCATTCGCGCTGTCCTTTCCAGAAATCAGCTAGCTTGAGTGCACGTCGCCTGCTCAGATAGAATTTGTTGGAACTGCGGTGTATTAGCTAGTGTATTAGTAGTTTTGCAGCTGGTTAGGTATTTTGTTACGCTCGCTCTGTAGTTGCATTTCTGCGGTGAAGTTACTGGGTGTGTACCAGTTAACATCGCCATAGTATTTACCTGTCTTAGCTAGTGTTTGATTACGTCTCTAGCTTGTTAGTATTTAGTTATGTTCACGTTGTAGTTTTTCTCTCTCTTAGTAATACGTTCGCTTTGTAGTCATTTTCTGCGGTGTAGTTAATTGCACGTCGCCTGCTCAGATAGAATTTGTTGGAACTGCGGTGTATTAGCTAGTGTATTAGTAGTTTTGCAGCTTGTTAGGTATTTTGTTACGCTCGCTCTGTAGTTGCATTTCTGCGGTGAAGTTACTGGGTGTGTACCAGTTAACATCGCCATAGTATTTACCTGTCTTAGCTAGTGTTTGATTACGTCTCTAGCTTGTTAGTATTTAGTTATGTTCACGTTGTAGTTTTTCTCTCTCTTAGTAATACGTTCGCTTTGTAGTCATTTTCTGCGGTGTAGTTAATTGAATCACAACTTATTTAATTGTTGTGAGTGTTGGATTAAGTTGAATTTTCTATAGTCCTTAGTAGTAGTATTTTCATTGTCCTTAATAGTTAATTTTATTGGCTAGTCTTTAATTAATTTTCAAGCTGGTTAGCTGGGAGTATTTTTTGTATATTAATTAGCAATAGAAAATATTTGGGTTTGTAGTATCAATTCCAGTGCCAAAATTTTAATCAGGTGAGATTCGAGTCTTATCACTTTCTACCGTTACTTCACTTGTCTGTCATTTTTTTCTCTGTTCCAAGAATGTCCTCTCAAAACACCCCAACTAAAAGATCTTCACAAGCCCCTTCTGTTACTCCCCCTAAAGTTCTGAAAACATCCCCAACGTCGCTCCCTCCAAGCACGCCTAGACTGCCGCAAATGCTTCAACATGTCAGGTCGAACGTATCAGGTTTCCTTGAGAACATGGACACGTCCATGAGTGCTGCGCTGTACAAATTTTCACAGCACAACCACGATGGAGCGCACCACCATCTGCAGAGGTGCTGTACGGATGTTGCGAATTTCAAAATGCAGTTTGACAATGAAATGGCCACCATCCAAAATCAAGTTGGTAACATGCAGGCGAGAAACGACATTCTCTCGCAGAGAATTGTTAACCTGGAGAGGACGCAGTCCTATCTCAGGGAGCAACTTGACAAAAAAAAATCAGACGAGGCTGATGACATGGCTCTGCTTGCCATGTCAATGGAGGACATCTCCCAGCCACTCACTACTGCTGTAACTCAACCCTCCACTTCAACCTCCACTTCCACTTCCACTTCCACCTCCACCTCCACCTCCACAACTACAACCGCTACTACCATCTCTTCTCCAGATGATTTCTTCGATGACTGATTATTTAGCAACGTAAATTTATTGTTTATGTAAACCATGTCTCTTCACTTTATGGCTGAAATATTGCCGAGGTGACGTTAAATTCTATCTCACTCACTCTAAATGCCCATCAGACAATTCCGTATATCTGAAATGATTAGTGTCGTCTGTTTGCAGATGCATTCCAGTTTGTTTTTCAATTTCAAACAACATTTAACGCTAATGAATGTCTCCTGTAGTATATATCTGTATATTTTGCCAAATTAGTTTCTTATGTTGGAATATGCATTCCTGTTTGTTTTATCTGTAGGTAGATGTTTTAAGTAGTCTAGGAAATTGATGCTGTTCGTCAATTTCAAACAACATTTAACGCTAATGAATGTCTCCTGTAGTATATATCTGTATATTTTGCCAAATTAGTTTCTTATGTTGGAATATGCGTTCCTGTTTGCTTTATCTGTAGGTAGATGTTTTAAGTAGTCTAGGAAATTGATGCTGTTCGTCAATTTCAAACAACATTTAACGCTAATGAATGTCTCCTGTAGTATATATCTGTATATTTTGCCAAATTAGTTTCTTATGTTGGAATATGCGTTCCTGTTTGTTTTATCTGTAGGTAGATGTTTTAAGTAGTGTAGGAAATTGATGCTGTTCGTCAATTTCAAATAACATTTAACGCTAATGGAAATTGATGCTGTTCGTCACTTTCAAACAACATTTAACGCTAATGAATGTCTCCTGTAGTATATATCTGTATATTTTGCCAAATTAGTTTCTTATGTTGGAATATGCGTTCCTGTTTGCTTTATCTGTAGGTAGATGTTTTAAGTAGTCTAGGAAATTGATGCTGTTCGTCAATTTCAAACAACATTTAACGCTAATGAATGTCTCCTGTAGTATATATCTGTATATTTTGCCAAATTAGTTTCTTATGTTGGAATATGCGTTCCTGTTTGGTTTTATCTGTTTCTTATGTTGGAATATGCGTTCCTGTTTGTTTTATCTGTAGGTAGATGTTTTAAGTATAGTAGGAAATTGATGCTGTTCGTCAATTTCAAACAACATTTAACGCTAATGAATGTCTCCTGTAGTATATATCTGTATATTTTGTCAGATTAGCGTCTTCAGTTGGAAGTTACATTCCAGCTAGATTTTCTGTAGGCAGATCTTCTAAATAGTTTAGAAAATTTATACTTTTCAGTTGTTTGAAATGATAATATTCACATTCTCTTGTGGTATACATCTATACATCAACTCAGTTTGTTCTCTTTTAAAATGCATTCGTGTTTGCATTTTCCAAAATAGATCTTGTAAGCAGTTTAACATAGCGATTGCAATTATTACTGCATAAATTCTAAGTGCCTAGTGTGAATGACAAATTGCCTTCTTTTTGAATTTAGTGCCATGATGTTTTCTGCAAAATTCAGCAAAAATAGTTTGCTGAATACATATGTGTTGATCTTGTCACTATATGGCTAAGATGATACCGAAGTGACGTAAAATCCATCTCAACTCAACTTGCATTCATTAGTTTCAAGTGGCAACATTTAGCATTAATATCTTTTTCATATCAATCTCCTTTCACATAAACTCCACTCTGCAATGATAATATGAATACTTTACACCAATATCACCCATGTTCAGCATCAGAAGTGTGTTCTTGCTCTGTGCGCCACTGGTACTGTGCCGGCTTAACTTTGATACTGCCCGCGATCCTCTTCTCTCTGTGTGGAGAACATGGAGATGTATGCAGAACAGAAATGTAATAACTGAACAAACATCACACGTGTCTTTCTTGGCTTGGTCATCTCCTCCGTCACCCCCCACCAACCCACCAGACGTGGGTGATTACTTAAACAAACAAGAAACCAGTCAACCAAGCCTCATAATCCTCTTACTCTTTAAATAAAACAACTTGCCCAACTGGCAAAGAGGATACCACCTGAGCGTGCGGGATTTTGGGGTGGGCTGCCAAGATACGATGGGCTTACAGCCTCTGTGGTTACAGTAATCAGTAGGAGTGTCTGCCTCTCATTGCCCCTTGAATCACATGACTGAATATACAACTGAGATAATGGCCGTGTCAGGGAGATGGGTATTATGCTTGGCAAACTGGTGTCAAGTGCTGTAATATAAGGCCGTAAACACTTTCTTCTGGCCATCATTGTGACGTAAAGCCCAACTCAACACAACTCATCTCGAAATGGAAACTCTTCTCTCTGATCTGTACGTCGCTGAGATGAAGTATAAAAGGGCCTGCGATCAAGTGGTCCTGCTCAACGACAAACTCGATGGATTGGAGACACGCTACACACAGGCACGTAGAGCAAACCAGCGGTCGTTTAGATATAATCTACGACTCAAAATGGCCACAGTTGAAGGCATTCGGAATGCCTTCCTCGAATATGCCTTGGAAAAGGCTGAGAGAATTATCGACCTCAGATTGAACATAGCTCAAGCGGACACCAGCTCAGAACACAGCCGATTCTGAAGTGATGGCAGATTGAAAGACACCATGACTTTTACAGGGCTGATCTCTAAGCCCTGAAAATGGTTCGGTACGAAACCAGCACTGAATGAGGCATAACCTTCCCATGCTCCCGCGATAACGCCCATCCACCCGCATCCGCATCGATAGAGGATTTATCAGTCATCCATTTGTTCCTTCGCCTGATTCCAGCATATCTTCCAGCGCCCATTGGTTCAATATGCTTCGAGGCAACGATTTTGGTTCATCATCGATTGCGCCGTTCATTCCGGAGCAATTTTTCCGGAACGTTATGAATCGCTGCCCATGATACCGCTGGTTTCAGCCCTGCCATCCCATTTGTTCATACCGTTCGAATGTTTGAGCCACGCCCTTTGAAAGCGAATTGTTTCGAAGATTGCTTCGAAGTTGGCGAAAGGTTCCGCACCGTTCCGGATCTGGTTTTGGCGCATCAACCCCGGCATCGAAGAAACGATTACCGATTCGGCGAGTTGAAATCGCCATTTTATCAGTTCGCCTATCGGTTTGTTTCCAGTCGCCCTTTGTTTCGCTACATTTCGCATCTTTCGGATAAGGTTTCGCAGAATCCTTTGCCCCATCCCGACAGCATGGTTCGCCAGTTCCATCGCCTGAAAGTTTCATCACCGGCCGCCATGAAGTCCCAGTAGCTGTCGCCGCCACCGGAAGCTGGCTTTATCGGCGTTCGTTCCGTTATAATGATTTCGCCGCCCGCACCCAGATATTATGGAATAGTTGTTTATCGCATGGTTTTGCAGCGCGTTCACGCCCAGCGGAGTGGCGATATCCCGATTCTTCTGCCTGAAAACCGACCGTGCCGCCAGTGCTGCTGGACGAATGCCGCTTCACGGTTGCGCCCATGTTCCGTTGCGCCAGCGTCCAGTCGCCGCCCCGCATTCAACGCGATCCGCCGAGTCTGCTTCGATCGCCGCATCTGCAAACCGCTTCTGCCATTCACATTTAATCCAGCGGTTATCGAGGAGTTGAGTATTTCTCCGGCGGCGGAAAGAGTTTTCCGCGCCGCCTGAAGTTTCAGCGTTATTGTTTGTTTCGCGATCATCAGCCCAGTCCCGTCGGCATTGGCGAGGGTTTTGAACAGCCCTGAACGCTTGTTTCTACGGTTTGGTTATTTGCGCGGAAGTTTCCAAACAGTTCTTTGTTTCATGATCACTATTCCATGCATGGCTTTGCCGCAGCGCCGCCAGCGCGGCCACGCCAAACCGGTTTAGTTGTTCAGTTCGCTGCCGCCATGGTCGATGATGCCAGTGATAGCCATCCGCGAGGGTCGCCCCATCGTCTCCAGATAGTTGCCTTCCATGCCGCAGCCCGGATAGCTCCAGCGATTCATTACTGCGTTCACGCACACGGAGATGAGAATTGGCCGGATGGTCGAGGCCGATGCCAGCCCATCGTCCAGTGCCCAGCGCCGGTCTGCCTGCCCTGGGCGAAAGCGAAGCTCGACGCTGGCCTTCGTTACCCGGTTATCCAGCGTCATAGCTTTTTCAGAATGTTATTCAGGCAGATAGAGTCTTTCAGCCCGAATTGTTTGGGAGCCCTGTAACATTTACTTGAACCTTTTAATAGTTGCCATATTTTCAAATTTAGAAAGAATTTTAACAATGTACAGTTTCTATTTGTAGCTAGTAACGCTACAAACTTTGTTTAGTGCACTCATTGATGACTGTCTCAATGTTAACACTACAATATTTTGTCAGTTGATCAGTTCAGACTTGTGAAATCCACAGTTAAGGCCAGTGACTGCTGTGTTTTAGTATACATGATATACTATTCACACTCTGCTGAGGATCAAATCATGAATTCAACAGAAAACTATGATGTGGGTCGAACTGGATGTCAATATTTAATCTTATTGTAAGCATGGATCCTAGGTTTCAGTGTCATTTCATCTTGTGGATCCCATACCCGCATTTTGACAGGTGTTGTGTAATTTGTCAATGACCCATATTATTATTTATCCAGTTTTAAAATGGATAGAATTTCAAATTATGAATCTATGTTTAAGTAAGTTGTGATTCTTTTTCAGAAGAAGTCCTCCTTGGGGTACATATATAAGCATTTAAGTCAGACCTTTAAATCCCACGACAGTTGTAACAATATTTTTAATAAAACAAAAAAACTTGTTTTGTCTTGTGAGACCACCCCTACAGCCAAGAGCAGGTAACCCCGCCGCTTACCCTCGTGACCTCACTTTTTTCATGCTGTCGCTCTGTTGAATAGACGGCGCGGGTGTTCGCTTCAAGTTTGCTCTCCCACCGATAATGCATGAGTGTAAAAGAGTCTCAATCTGTATGTATGGTTCCTTTCTTTACGCACGGGCTATATGGACTTCATATGTTGATATTCTCATTCATCTTTGTTGTAACTTTGCCAGGGTTCTCTGTTTCCCAGCCTTGTGGCAGGCAAAATGGCGGACCGCTACAGCGTGGTTTCCTTTGCTATATGTTCTTGGCAGCTTGTAGTAGGGAGTTCATATATTATGTTTGCATATTATATGGTAGGCTTGCCTAAATTCTCTTTCTTTCAGCGAATTTGTGGTAAGTCGTTGTTGAGTAATTTTGATAGTGTTCGCTTCAGATCACCAACTTTACTCTATCACTAGTATGTACAAGCAGGTGTGGCTAGCCTTTTCCTGCTTTGCATTGTATGTTTAGTATTTAAAATGGCTGTAGCTTGTACCATTTGCTGCTTCACAGTTCTTGCTAATAACACTGGCATGATTCTGTTTGTTGCAGTTTAAGCCCTGTGCATTGTGCCGTGCACACTACCGTCACAGGATGGTCATAAAGTGTGCCTCCGGTGTTTAGCCGAGGACGCTCACGACATCAAGGATGTTCATAATAAACGCCCTTGCGTCAATATTCCTGTTACATGTTGTGTTATGTTACACATATACATATTTCATACGTTTACACACAACGTGGCTCATAGTGGCCGAAGTTGTGTTTTTTGTCACGCGCATTCTTTCAGGCACGCATATTTTTTGTTTTTCACTAATCTGCTTCAGGCGGGGGATAATATTTGATGAAAGGTTTCTAAGGAAATCCCTTTATCGTTCCCCCGCAAACTATTTCAGCAACATATGCTGCAGCAGATGACTACTGTGAAGTCGATGATTGATAGTGCGATGTCCGGGCTCCGTAAGGAGGTCGGCTCGCAACATGTTTATCTCGATGGTCCAGGCGTCGTCTGTGAAATCCCTGATTGACACGGCGCTGTCTGGGTTCCGCAAGGAGCTCAGCACGCCTGTCGTCAGGGGTGGATCGGACGCATCTTGGGGTTATTGCGCCCGAAGCCCGCTCGAGAACGCCGGCCTCCTCGGGCAGCTTGATCCTGGCTTCGCTCTGGTGATAGGTGCCTCGGCGCCTTTGTGGCGCACCTAGCTTCGGGCTCAGGTTCGTCACGGGCGCCTGGCGCCGGCGATGCAGGGTTTGCCCTGTCTTCGCCTGGTGCCCTGACTGGCGGTCGCCTTTGGCTTCACTCAGCCTAGGGACACCTCGGCGCCTCTAGTGGTCAGCTGGGGTTGCCCGAAAGCTGTATGGGCAGGTTCCTCTCGCTCGGGTCTGGGTTCCACTGAGCTGCCGATCACCTCGACACTCCTAGGTCTACCCGTGTACACCAGGGCAACCCTGCATTGCCAGGCTACTCCCATGTGTCTCGGGACCGCAGATCGGACTAGCACCGACGTGGGCTTCGGCCCCGGTACGGAGCATATCCCCGGCGCTGTTAGCTCAGGTCTCGGCCTGATGTCTATCGATGCTCTGGCCAAGAGGCCGTTGAGTGTGACGGAGCTACCGATCACCTCGACGCACCGAGGTCTACCCGTGTACACCAGGGGAACCCTGCATTGTCAGGCTACTCCCAGGTGTTTCGGGATCGGGGTTCAAACCCGAACCGCCGACCTGAGCACTTACATACATATATATATGTGTGTGTATATATGGGTATTTATATAGCGCTATAAGCTATGTTTGACTATATGCTCAGTGCGCTTTTGGAGAGTACTTGGGGAACCCTGATTTATCAGGCTACTCCTACGTGTCTCGGGATCGGGGTTCGGTCTAGAACCGCCGAGCTTTGGCTCCACGGATACTCTGAACCCAGTGAGTAGCACCGACCTAGGCTTCGGCACTGGTAGTGTGCAGATTCCCGGCCCCAGTAGTTCAGGTCTCGACCTGATGTCTATCGACATCTTGACCAGGATGCTATCGAGTGTGCCGGGTGTGTCTGAGTGCTTGGGAAACCTTAATTTGTCAGGCTTCTCACATGTGCCTCGGAACCGGGGTTCAGGCTCGTACTGTGGACAAGTCGATTTGAGCTTCGGCTCATTTCGCTACTTTGAACTTACCACTGAGTAGGTTCGTCCCTGAGGCAAGTGCGAGATAGAATCGCGGCTGTGTTGCCTCAGGTGTTGTCCACGTTGAATACCCGAACCGTTAGAGTTCGCCTCTCGGAGGGAAGCCTGCTTCCAGCAAGGCTTTTGGGACAAGGCCTCACACTCTACCGCCTGTTCGCCGCTTCTTTTCCCCTTAACAGCTCAACGCTGTATGCTCCACTCGGCGCATCTCTCAGCTCTGCTGAGGGAGCTGGTGGAAAGGGGAGAGAGCACCGGTGTTTTTTTCCGTCGGCGACTCTGGGCGGCATCTGACGGATGTCACCTCTTATCTGGCTAGGAACTGCATTGTAGCTGTGCCAGCCAAATGATGAGTGCGGTTATGGGCCTATGTTATGACACCTGGACTGTTTTCGAGGAATACGGAAGTCTGTCGAAGCTTCGCAATTTCAGGTGCCCAGGCACCGCAAACGCTAAGTTGCCGACTGCTGGGGTTTACATATGTATTCTGCCGCAAAACCCCGGTCGGAGCCATTACACCAGTGGCGGCTTCCCGGGAGACGGCAAAAATACTCCGTGCCGAGATCCAGTCTCTGCTGGGCAGGGCAACCAGCGTGGTGGTTTCCAATGGTCAGGAAAATGTGGGGTTCGACTCCATTTATTTCCTCGTTGCCATTAAGAACGGAATGTTCAGACCCATTCTCATCTAAGAGCTGAACAAGTTAATAGAGGTACTGTCCTTCAAGATGGAGACACCGCACTCGGTGATCTCATCTGTCGAGACGGGATTGGCGCACGTCAATCGACCTCGAGGTCGCATACCTCTTTGTTCCATTGCACCCTGATTTCATGATTTCGGTTCTTGTTTGACGGGACGTGCTACGAGTTTCGTGTGCTCCCCTTAGGCTACATTACTGCGCCAAGTGTGTTCACCAAATTGAAGTTTATTACAGCTCAGATAGCCAGATCGCAATGCCGGTGTTGTCACCCGTACCTAGGCGACTGGCTCATCGTGGTTTTAGAATAACTGTTGAGTCTGGGGACCTCACGATCAGTGTTGGTCAATCTTACGAAACTGGGCGGAATTGTCAACCTCACACAGTCAGATGGACAGACGCCAGGCGTATGCTCCGAGGGTTCCCCTGGAGACACCGCCGCTCTCGGTCCAGCCAGATACATCCCTACCAGGATAGGGTGATGTTCTGGGCGACCTGCAGTCTCTTGACGACGAAATCACAACCTGCACATCAATGTGCTGGAATTGACATCAGTCAGGTTGGTGTTCGATCCCGCACGCCGGGATTCGAATTACCTTTCCGGCCAGACATTCTCACTTGAACGGGCGCCACACCCGGTCCTCGGATTCACTGGGTGGCTTGGCCTCTGTCGGGTCTAACGCCCAGACACGCGGAATTCCTGCAACCATTGCAGACACAATTCTGGCTTCGAGGCGGGATTCGACACCCGTTCAGTGTGTTGATAGGTGGGGCGCGCTGGTGTGCAGATAGGGGGATTTCATAATCTCTATTCTGCGGATTTAGTTCGGATATTGGAGTTACTATAACCTCGTTTTGGTTGAGAGCCTTATGACCTCCACCATTCATGGGTACTCCATGGCTATTTCCACGTTTCACACCTCGTTCGATGGTGCTCTGCCTAGGCAGCACCCTCTCGTACATCGCTTCGTAGCTGTCATGAACAGGGTTCGACTGCCTCGGCGGCGACCCAGCCCACCTTTTCAAGTATATTGTCTCTCTCACTTCACTTGTTGACGTGGAAGACGGCTTTACTTGTTTTGGTGAGCTCTAGTAGAAGGGTCGGGTACATCCATGCGATACCCACTGACCTGACACTGACGGTATTTTATACTGATCATGTCCGTATTCGCCTCCCGGATACCTACCACTCTCAGTTCGATATTGCTTGCCACGTGACTGATCATATCGCACTTCCACCCCTTACCCAGCCTAACGAACTAACAAAAGGGATCCGTACGGGCACCCATGTGTTCTGTTTGGTGGCGGGAAGACTGGGGAGTCTGCTAGCAAGCGAACTTTATCTCGTTGGCTTGTTTCCGTAATTGTTCGGTTACAATGCTAAGGTTTACCTTCCCCCGAGGGGTTGAAGGCAGACTGGGTAGGGCAGATGCCGCTTTGTTGGCAATACACAGCGGCACTGCTCAATGAAGAGATCGGTTCTGTCGCTCTTTGGAGCCGGCAGAACACCTTCATTCGCCATTACCGACTTGACACGCATTCTAAGGATTGTGCTCGGTTCGGTCTTTCGGTTCTCTCCAGTGGAGAGTGTGTCCTGCCACCCTGACCAAGTTATATTAGTAACTGGTCATTGGTATCGGTTCTGTGTTCAATGTCGATATATATCATATCACTACATCGTATTAGCCTTACCACCCTTCCGGGTTGGGTCGGGTTTGGGTGTACATACGTCCCTTACGTCCTCTTCAAGAGGGCGGGGTCCGTTTTGAACGCTTTAACTTTAACCAATCATATGCTATTAACCCGTCTTGCGACGGAATTGGGTACGGAACCTGCCACGGGGCACGGTTTGGTATGCCTCTCTTCGAGCCGCATGTCACGTGACCAGGTTAGTGTAATGGTGAGCCAACACATGTTCAGTTACGCTTTTCGCTGTTCAGGGGATTTTTGTACGCTTACAGTCATATGCTTATATGTACCCCAAGGAGGATTTCTTCTGAAAAAGAATTATACAAACCTGTAGAGGTTATGAATTCTTTGACGAAAGACCTTGGGGTACGGCCACCAGCCTCCGTTCATTCTGTGTGACACGTTCAGCATGAAATGTGAGGTACGAGGTAAACGGCGAGAGTTACCTGCTCTTGGCTGTAGGGGGTCAGGTGGGGCCCTGTAGGGGTGGTCTCACAAGACAAAAAGAGTTTTTTGTTTTGTAAATATTTTATTAAAAAATATTGTTACAACTGTCGTAGGATTTAAATGGACATTTAAATGCTTATATGTACCCCAAGGAGGACTTTCTTCAAAGAATTCATAACCTCTACAGGTTTGTATAAATTTTTGTGATCCTTAGCAAAATGTGAGTAGTATATATGATGAACATACATATTGATATGATCTTTGACCAATCTTATAAGAACCTGTCAGTTGAACTGTTCAGACTTGAATACTCCATAATTAAAGTCACTGACTGCTGTGTGTTAGTATATGATGGAAATATTAATATGATCTTTGACCAGTCTTAAAAGAACCTTAAGCTTAACATATCATTGAACAACTTTCTTAAGTTATGATGAATATCACTAAGATCTGGGGATTAATTATTTAATTTAGGACACACAAGACATCTATATTCCAGTTAGCTGTCTCACCTTACTTACAGATTGTGCATCTGATTTCTGAATTACATATTTAATATGTTCTGTAGTATATATTTAATATGTTATGTCAAACTATCAGCTATAAGTCAAGAGATTTTTCCTGTTTTCAGTTCAATGGTTACTCTTGTTAAAGTTCTGAAGGATTATGGGAAAATGGAGCAGAAAATCTGCCAAATCTACGATGAGTATCTGCAAAAGTGGGAAGAGAAAAGCCGTACTCAAGTTGGTAAGCCTTGCTGTATGCTGACATTACATTTAACTTACATGGATGTATATACTAATGATGTGACTTCAATAAGTTATGGACCGCCTCCGTGGTGTAGTGGTATAGAGCGTAAGCCTGGAGAGCGGAAGGTCACGGGTTCGATCCCCGGCCGCGTCATACCAAAAGACGTTAAAATATGGTACTTGTTGGTCCCTGCCTGGGGCTCGCATTAATGGGTACATCAAGGACTGGTTGGCTCGGAGTCAGTATAATGTGGCTGAGTGAAGTATTCATGCTTCACTGCGGCATGGTATCTCAGTGGGCTAGCACTATAAAACCAGCTTCAATCTGGGCTAGTACAAGCAGCCGCACATACACATACACACACATGCAAGTCGTCATATGAGCGAAATATTCTCAAGCACGACGTTAAACCCAATTTCACCTCACCTCACCTCAATAAGTTATGTTTTTAGGGTCAGGTGCCCTCATATGTTTTAGTTTTGGCATGCCAGGGTTTTCATTTGATCTGTAATATGCTTGATATATATAAACTTGTGACAACCAACTTCTTTGAATCTTTAAGCACCCAACTTCTTTGAAGCTCCGAGCTTGATAACAGTGTTAGTATCTATCAAGAAGTTGTATATCGATAGGACTGTCCCCTTCTTGTGACAACAAGACATGGAGACAAGCGGACCATGTTTTACCATCTTTCGCAGTGACCTGGGTGGCGTTTGTTCCACTGCCAGTCTGCTCTCCTGGCAGACATTCTACCGTTTTTTCCAATGTTACTTCTGGGATGGTGTGACCTACAAGGGTTTTGTTTTGGTCATTCAGTATCACCGTGAGGGACACCAGAAATGAAGAACCAATACTGTTATTGTTTTTTAAAGGCCAAAATGCAAACCAACTGAAAAAACCTAAAAGCAACATAGACGGACATATAACAATCTGGTGAATGCTCACATGTGAATGTATATGCTTGTTTGTGTGAAAATACAGGTAGCAACTTGGCCTATGATGAAATCAAAGCCATTATGAAGATCTTGATGGCAACTTACAGGGAACAGCTTGACCTACAGAACAAATCAGTCAACTGCTTGTATGCCAAGAAGGGTCCCATCAGGAGCCTCCAAGAGTAAGTATCATCAATAATTGTACTTTATTTGCTCAATGCTTGATCATTGTCAAGCCAACCAGTTATGCTATGATTGAGGAAAATTTCAACTTTTTGTCTTATGGCAAGACTTAAGAATGTGGGATAACTTCTAACTTCTGTTGGAGGATTAAAGCTTTAACATGTTTAACAATGAGCCAAATGGGGACTGCCTGATGTTATCCTATGTAATATTGCTGATATATTTCTAACTGAAGTGAAACCCATTTACTGTACACTATTAAAACACTTGTATCAAACTAACATGTATGACCAACTGTTTCATTGATTGTCCCAACTGTTTGCTACATATTTAAAGTGAAAATACACATAAGAAACTACAATCAGAACAGATTTGTGGTCCCTTTGCAGTCATTTTAACCATAAGCATAATGTTTAAAGTATATGTGGGGGCGGTGTGGTAGCCTAATGGTTAAAGCGTTGGCTCGTCACGCCGAAGACCCGGGTTCGAATCCCCACATGGGTACAATGTGTGAAGCCCATTTCTGGTGTCCCCCGCCGTGATGTTGCTGGATTATTGCTAAAAGCGGCGTAAAACCAAAATCAGTCAGTCAGTCAGTTAAAGTATATGTGATAAGCTGTAATGGTTTGGAAGATATTCAGATGGTTATTTATCCCTGGATTTCACCTTCATCATAGCTACGTTGACTCGGAGGATGTTCAGGCTACTAGGAAGGCCACTCAGTCCCTCTATGAAAGGACAAACAAGAGACAGGTGAAGCTGGAGAAGGAGATTGGCCAGCTGAAAGAGGTGATTATTGCACCGGAACAGTTACTGTGTATTCGTAATAATTGATAAGTGATATAATATCCCAGTTCTTTTGCCTGGTGATTGCATGCATGTGCGTGGGTGTGACTGTGTGTGCATTTGTGTGTTAGTTGGGTCTAGGGGTTGGGAGATGTACTAGTCTGGCTACTTGTATTTGTTCAAGAGAGAGTGAGAGAGGTTAGTTTTACACCGTACTCGGCAATATTCCAGCTATATGGCGTCGGTCTGTAAATAATCGAGTCTGGACCAGACAATCCAGGGATCAACAGCATGAGCATTGATCTGCGCAATTAGGAACCGATGATATGTGTCAACTAAGCCAGCGAGCCTGACCACCCGATCCCGTTAGTTGCCTCTTTTCGACAAGCATGGGTTACTGAAGGTTCATTCTAAGCCGGACCTTCACGGGTTTTACTTGTTCAAGGTCATGCCAGTTTTTTAGTGCCAATTCACTGTGGTTCTGAGCTGCTGCTAATCAGGATACCCTCTGTTAGACTTTGTCCTAACTAGTCGTTGTTTTAGATCCTTAACACCAAGCACTACACTATCTAACTGAGTATGGTTTTGCGCCGTTTTTAGCAATATTCCAGCAATACCACGGCGGGGGACACCAGAAATGGGCTTCACAAGTTGTACCCATGTGGGGAATCGAACCTGGGCCTTCGGCGTGACGAACGAACGCTTTAACCACTAGGCTACCCCACCGCCCCAGATTTGATAGAATGTTTAACAGATACATTACTACCGCATCCTGCTGAGGACACAAGCACTACAGGGCGAAAAGAGACAAACAAAAGCAGACAGTACATATAAGATGGGTTCAGTGTGGGCCCTAGAAACTCCAGCTGCTGAACACTATCGATTATCCTTTTGTTTAACAGTTTCTGTTATGAAATGTTCATTCCTCAATGTTCTCTCTCTTCTTTTTTACCCGTGAAGATCTGGGTTAGATTTGATCTTCAGTAACCCATGCTTGTTGTAAGAAGCAACTAACGGGATCGGATGGTCAGGCTAAACCCACTCACTCACTCCCTTCTTTTTCCAGGACTCTTTCAAGGCTAAGGACCAGATGGTTCAGTTCAAGCCTGAGATGGATGCAGCACAAACTAGCCAGGAGGGTCGCACCAACTTTCAGGAACTCTTGGCTCACTGGCGGAAACTGGAATCAGATGCTGCAGTGGCCAAGACGTCTTACAGACAAAAAGTGCAAGAGGAAAAATCTACACGACCGACGTTCATAGAAGTAGGAACTTGTTCTAATATAAAACAGTCCCAACACAGTATTTATACATGGTCTAAATGATCTAAGACAGAAAGTTGTATCTGCAATATATTATTAAAAGGGTTTGAAATTCCTTTGTATTTAGGGGGCGGTGGGGTAGCATAGTGGTTAAAGCGTTTGCTCTTCACGCAAAAGACCTGGGTTCGATTCCCCACATAGGCACAATGCGTGAAGCCCATTTCTGTTGTCCCCTGCCGTGATATTGCTGGAATATTGCTAAAAGCGGCGTAAAACTAAACTCACTCACTCACTTTGTATTTGCTGTTCGCTTTAAATCTTCTTAACAATTAAACTAGATCCTCAGTGCTTGAATGGCATGCTCAGAAATAATGTTTTATAACCAACAGTACCTTATGACAATAGTTGTTAGTAGTGGTGGTCCGATTAATTGAAACAATCGAAGATTGGTCGCAGTGACTAAATAACCAAGCAATCGATCATGTTTCCTCATAATCAAACACAAACAATTTTTGAGCACTTGTTTGCATTAACAATATTTTAAACAAGGTTGGTTTTGTCTGTTACATTTCATAAGCACTACAACCTCGTTCCCAGTCATCACTGAATTTATCTTAAAGACTCCAGGAAATTCATGTTCCTAACATACTAGTCAGCCTTTAAAGATGTGAAATTTGCAAAAGCATTTTGTGCAATTTGAAGAAAAAACCCCGAGAGAACTACATGTTTTTTCTTTATTTTTGTGCAGGAACAAAGACAACCAGGAAACTTGATAAATGACGCTAACCAATTTTTTTTCGATGATAGATCGGGTTGTAATGAACCAGTCATCAATTATGAGATTATAACCAATCCCCAACACTAGTTGTTACATGAAGCAGGGGGCTGTGGGGTAGCCTCTGCGGGTTAAAGCGCTTTGCTTGTCATGCCAAAGGCCCTGAGTTTGATTCCCACATGGGTACAATGTATGAAGCCCATTTCTGGTGTTCCCCGCCATGATATTGTTAAAATATTGCTTAAAGCGGTGTAAGACTAAAACTCCCTCATGAGTTCCCTGTATTTGAAAAAAAATCACTCCTTCTTATAATTGCCCCCTCAGTCTCAGTTCTCTTGAGCAGACAAATATACAGCTAGGAAGCTTCAGTTAGAGAGATAATCTGAATCATTGTGGCAAAATCTTCTTGAAGGACCCACTTGATCCATCCACAGGCAAACTGTAGCGCAAATAGGGCTGTGCTACAGGGAGAAAAATGTCTTTCTATATGCGTGCGAAGGCTGGCAATGTGCTTCACTCGCTTCTGTTTGAAAAATATTTTTAATATCAAAATAAAATATTGCCACCATCAAAGGTAGACACCCATTTCCTAGCAGGATTGTGCTCTCAGATTTCCAACCTCATAATTAGTAATTACTCCTGTACAATATAATTAATTCAACATATTTACCTCCACTCGTGGCATGTCAAGTCGTTCTTCACCTCCATTACGCCTGCAGGCTTCTGGTTCAACGGAGTGATTCTAGGAACTAGAATAAGCAGAAATTAAAAAAGAAATATATTGCCTAATTTCACCATAAAAAGCAGTTGGAGATTACTTTTCTTATCTGCCGTCTTTAGTATTAGAATTTCCGTATCATTTATTCTACAAAAAGCACATCGGGCGTAGTGGGTGAATGAAGCAAGGGAGGTAACTCCGCTAGTATTCAATATGGCGGATATGTGATTCAACAAGTATATTTAGATTTGACTCCCCTGTTCCTTCACTGGTCATTTTTTCTTTGTTGCGCATGTTGTGATCCATCTTCCTGAGGCAAGGGAGTTACCATCCTTACTTTGAAAGTCTGTTTCCACTCTTCCCAAATTCCTGGATTTTATGGTGCAAATGGAGTCTAACCAGTGTCTATAGTTGTGTCCCTTTTATATCCCTCCTATTAATTAAACAATCAGACCAGTCCACCTCTCCTGTGACATGCTTTTATTTCAAGCAAAGGTTCACATGCCCTGATTCATGGAGTATGGGGATTGTAGCACAGCACCTGAGCATGATGCTTAAAACATGAAAACAAATATTTGGAAAATATCTGTGATAGTACCAGTTGACAGTACTCATACCTGCAAATTCGGTAATGGACTGAAATCTGCACAGAAGTGGACATATTTACAAACAGGATGTTGATATTATTACGCAATTTGATTCGACAATGCATAGACGCCTTCAAACAATTAATATAACACCAAAGATATAAAATATAACAACTAAAATATATCACCAAAATTCCATTCCATTTTGGCATGCAAGGAAAGACACTTTAGGAGTCAGTTATCTCCCTTGCCTTGTGAAGAGGGAATGCTTTTTAGAACTCAGTTGATATTTTCTGTAGAAGCCTGATATGGATGATATAATATCATTCCTTTGAGGCTTGCGTTTAATAAGGTTTTTAACCCTGCTAGCAAATAATCTTTGTCTGTATTTCAGGATATGAAAAGATTCCAGAGTGATTCTGACGCCTATGAGAGGGCTCGTCTTCAAAATCTACACCATGTTATGACTTCAGTGATGAGAAACACTAAAGCTGTAGAAGTCAAGAGGTAGATATCAGTAGCTGGCACTATACTAGTCATCTAAAGCTGTAGAAGTCAAGAGGTAGACATCAGTAGCTGGCACTATACTAGTCATCTAAAGCTGTAGAAGTCAAGAGGTAGATATCAGTAGCTGGCACTATACAAGTCATCTAAAGCTGTAGAAGTCAAGAGGTAGATATCAGTAGCTGGCACTATACTAGTCATCTAATGCTGTAGAAATCAAGAGGTAGATATCAGTAGCTGGCACTATACTAGTCATCTAAAGCTGTAGAAGTCAAGAGGTAGATATCAGTAGCTGGCACTATACTAGTCATCTAAAGCTGTAGAAGTCAAGAGGTAGATATCAGTAGCTGGCACTATACTAGTCATCTAAAGCTGTAGAAGTCAAGAGGTAGATATCAGTAGCTGGCACTATACTAGTCATCTAAAGCTGTAGAAGTCAAGAGGTAGATATCAGTAGCTGGCACTATACTAGTCATCTCAAAGCTGTAGAAGTCAAGAGGTAGATATCAGTAGCTGGCACTATACTAGTCATCTAAAGCTGTAGAAGTCAAGAGGTAGATATCAGTAGCTGGCACTATACTAGTCATCTAAAGCTGTAGAAGTCAAGAAGTAGATATCAGTAGCTGGCACTATTCTAGTCATCTAAAGCTGTAGAAGTCAAGAGGTAGATAGTAATAAAGTTCTTGTACTAACATCTAACATCTTTGTACGGACTCAGTATTCACCTGATGAAGGAGCAAGAACTAGCTCTGAAGCGTCGTGTAATGAATAAAAAGAAGTTGTTATCCTTAAAAGTGTCATGTATTTAGATATTAATACTAATAGCTGGCACATGTTACTAGCACTGTGATGTTGCTTGAATGTTGCTGGAAGCAGTCCTTGAACTCACTCATAGTTCTAGTGGAATATTTCTATTCAAAGCAGCATCAGATACACCTCTTTTTAGTATCTTTTTGTTGTTATGGAGTGCACACTTTGTGGAAAGAAATACCTAAATGGGCTTACACAGTGTAGATTTGTTTTCACATTTGTTTAACTTGATACCTCCATGAAACTAAAATATTGAAATAAATTCTTAAATAGGCAGCAGTTTAGTTGGTTATGTTCCCACATAAGTTGACACACCTCAGTATAAGTGGAATACTGTTGAAAGGCAGCATTAAACCCACCTCCCTCATTGAATATGTTTTTGTGGTGTTCCGATTAATTGAATTGAAATAATCGAAGATTGGTCGAAGTGACCAAACAACCAAGCAATCGATCACATTTTCTCATAATCGAACACAAACGATTTTGGAACAGTCTGTTTTAGTCTTTGAAACACTTGATGATGGAACATATCTTCGAAAGTTGTCAGGGCCTGAAAACTTGTTTAATTCTTAGAAAACTCATGACTGAATATTTCTTGAAGACCCCAGAAGGTTTATGTTCATGATAAATCAACATCACTTTAAAGTAGCAAGGTGCATCATGTTATACATATCTGCAATAACAACCTGAATAGGAAAATCTGAAAATTGACGCTAACCAATTTTTATCAATGATTGTTCGTTGGTAATAAAGCAATCATCAATTGTGAGATTTCAACCAATTCCCAACACTAGTGATTACAGATGTAGACAATTATGTGCACACTTTGGGAAAAGAGTACCCCAATGGATTTAGTCCATGAACATTATTATTACACAATTGTTTTACAAATATGCCTCCTAAAGCACTAGAATACAGTGGTTGGTTCTGTCAAAGACTAACATGTTCACATTTATCATGGTGACTGCCCACATGATCATATTGTGAAAACATTCCTACCTCCAGATACAAGGTGTTGAAGCTATTGTTTGAAGAAGGAAGCTCTCGCCTTCAGCAGTACAACCTACAGAAAGAAGTTGACTGCTACAATGCATTCTATCTGTATCAACATCAGTTCCCCGAGGAGCAGGTGAGTAGAACAACATGGTCGTCTTGTGAAGAATGGAGTCAGGAGTGCTGTGTATCGGAGTGAACGTTTAAGGATAAGGGTTGGTTTGATGTATTCAGGAGTACTGTGTATCAGAGTGAAAGTTCAAGGATGAGGGTTGGGTGAGATGTATTCAGGAGTACTGTGTATCTGAGTGAATGTTCAAGGATAAGGGTTAGTTTGATGTATTCAGGAGTACTGTGTATCAGAGTGAAAGTTCAAGGATGAGGGTTGGGTGAGATGTATTCAGGAGTACTGTGTATCTGAGTGAATGCTTAAGGATAAGGGTTGGGTGAGATGTATTCAGGAGTACTGTGTATCTGAGTGAATGTTCAGAATTAGGGTTGGTTTGATGTATTCAGGAGTACTGTGTATCTGAGTGAACGTTTAAGGATTGGGTGAAATGTTTTCAGGAGTACTGTGTATCTGAGTGAACGCTTAAGGATAAGGATTGGGTGAGATGTATTCAGGAGTACTTTGTATCTGAGTGAATGTTTAAGGATAAGGGTTGGTTTGATGTATTCAGGAGTACTGTGTATCTGAGTGAACGTTCAAGGATAAGGAATGGGTGAGATGTATTCAGGAGTACTTTGTATCTGAGTGAACGTTTAAGGATAAGGATTGGGTGAGATGTATTCAGGAGTACTTTGTATCTGAGTGAATGTTCAAGGATAAGGGTTGGTTTGATGTATTCAGGAGTATTGTGTATCTGAGTGAACGTTTAAGGATTGGGTGAGATGTATTCAGGAGTACTGTGTATCTGAGTGAATGTTTAAGGGTTGGTTTGATGTATTCATGAGTACTGTGTATCTGAGTGAACGTTTAAGGATGAGGATTGGTTTGATGTATTCAGGAGTACTGTGTATCTGAGTGAACGTTCAAGGATAAGGATTGGGTGAGATGTATTCAGGAGTACTTTGTATCTGAGTGAACGTTTAAGGATAAGGATTGGGTGAGATGTATTCAGGAGTACTTTGTATCTGAGTGAATGTTCAAGGATAAGGGTTGGTTTGATGTATTCAGGAGTATTGTGTATCTGAGTGAACGCTTTAAGGATAAGGCTTGGGTGAGATGTATTCAGGAGTACTGTGTATCTGAGTGAATGTTTAAGGGTTGGTTTGATGTATTCATGAGTACTGTGTATCTGAGTGAACGCTTTAAGGATGAGGATTGGTTTGATGTATTCAGGAGTACTGTGTATCTGAGTGAACGCTTTAAGGATAAGGGTTGGGTGAGATGTATTCAGGAGTACTGTGTATCTGAGAGTGAACGCTCAAGGATGAGGATTGGGTGAGATGTATTCAGGAGTACTGTGTATCGGAGTGAACGCTCAAGGATGAGGATTGGGTGAGATGTATTCAGGAGTACTGTGTATCGGAGTGAATGTTCAAGGAAAAGGCTTGGGTGAGATGTATTCAGGAGTGCTGTGTATCAGAGTGAACGTTCAAGGATGAGGCTTGGATGGGATGGAGTCAGCAGTACAGTACTATGTATCAGAGCAAACGTTCAAGCATGACCATGACCAGGTTGGAGTGCTGTGTATCAGAGTGAACGTTCAAGGATGAGGCTTGGATGGGATGGAGTCAGCAGTACAGTACTATGTATCAGAGCAAACGTTCCAGCATGACCATGACCAGGTTGGAGTGCTGTGTATCGGAGTGAACGTTTAAGGATAAGGGTTGGTTTGATGTATTCAGGAGTACTGTGTATCAGAGTGAAAGTTCAAGGATGAGGGTTGGGTGAGATGTATTCAGGAGTACTGTGTATCTGAGTGAATGTTCAAGGATAAGGGTTGGTTTGATGTATTCAGGAGTACTGTGTATCAGAGTGAAAGTTCAAGGATGAGGGTTGGGTGAGATGTATTCAGGAGTACTGTGTATCTGAGTGAATGCTTAAGGATAAGGGTTGGGTGAGATGTATTCAGGAGTACTGTGTATCTGAGTGAATGTTCAGAATTAGGGTTGGTTTGATGTATTCAGGAGTACTGTGTATCTGAGTGAACGTTTAAGGATTGGGTGAAATGTTTTCAGGAGTACTGTGTATCTGAGTGAACGCTTTAAGGATAAGGATTGGGTGAGATGTATTCAGGAGTACTTTGTATCTGAGTGAATGTTTAAGGATAAGGGTTGGTTTGATGTATTCAGGAGTACTGTGTATCTGAGTGAACGTTCAAGGATAAGGATTGGGTGAGATGTATTCAGGAGTACTTTGTATCTGAGTGAACGCTTTAAGGATAAGGATTGGGTGAGATGTATTCAGGAGTACTTTGTATCTGAGTGAATGTTCAAGGATAAGGGTTGGTTTGATGTATTCAGGAGTATTGTGTATCTGAGTGAACGTTTAAGGATAAGGATTGGGTGAGATGTATTCAGGAGTACTGTGTATCTGAGTGAATGTTTAAGGGTTGGTTTGATGTATTCATGAGTACTGTGTATCTGAGTGAACGTTTAAGGATGAGGATTGGTTTGATGTATTCAGGAGTACTGTGTATCGGAGTGAACGTTCAAGGATAAGGATTGGGTGAGATGTATTCAGGAGTACTTTGTATCTGAGTGAACGTTTAAGGATAAGGATTGGGTGAGATGTATTCAGGAGTACTTTGTATCTGAGTGAATGTTCAAGGATAAGGGTTGGTTTGATGTATTCAGGAGTATTGTGTATCTGAGTGAACGTTTAAGGATAAGGCTTGGGTGAGATGTATTCAGGAGTACTGTGTATCTGAGTGAATGTTTAAGGGTTGGTTTGATGTATTCATGAGTACTGTGTATCTGAGTGAACGTTTAAGGATGAGGATTGGTTTGATGTATTCAGGAGTACTTTGTATCTGAGTGAACGTTTAAGGATAAGGGTTGGGTGAGATGTATTCAGGAGTACTGTGTATCTGAGTGAACGTTCAAGGATGAGGATTGGGTGAGATGTATTCAGGAGTACTGTGTATCGGAGTGAACGTTCAAGGATGAGGATTGGGTGAGATGTATTCAGGAGTACTGTGTATCGGAGTGAATGTTCAAGGAAAAGGCTTGGGTGAGATGTATTCAGGAGTGCTGTGTATCAGAGTGAACGTTCAAGGATGAGGCTTGGTTGGGATGGAGTCAGCAGTACAGTACTATGTATCAGAGCAAACGTTCCAGCATGACCATGACCAGGTTGGAGTGCTGTGTATCAGAGTGAACGTTCAAGGATGAGGCTTGGATGGGATGGAGTCAGCAGTACAGTACTATGTATCAGAGCAAACGTTCCAGCATGACCAATACCAGGTTGGAGTGCTGTGTATCAGAGTGAACGTTCAAGGATGAGGCTTGGATGGGATGGAGTCAGCAGTACAGTACTATGTAGCAGAGCAAACGTTCCAGCATGACCATGACCAGGTTGGAGTGCTGTGTATCAGAGTGAACGTTCAAGGATGAGGCTTGGATGGGATGGAGTCAGCAGTACAGTACTATGTATCAGAGCAAACGCTCCAGCATGACCATGACCAGGTTGGAGTGCTGTGTATCAGAGTGAACGCTCAAGGATGAGGCTTGGATGGGATGTAGTCAGCAGTACAGTACTATGTATCAGAGCAAACGTTCCAGCATGACCATGACCAGGTTGGAGTGCTGTGTATCAGAGTGAACGCTTCAAGGATGAGACTTGGATGGGATGGAGTCAGCAGTACAGTACTATGTATCAGAGCAAACGTTCCAGCATGACCATGACCAGGTTGGAGTGCTGTGTATCAGAGTGAACGTTCAAGGATGAGGCTTGGATGGGATGGAGTCAGCAGTACAGTACTATGTATCAGAGCAAACGCTCCAGCATGACCATGACCAGGTTGGAGTGCTGTGTATCAGAGTGAACGCGTTCAAGGATGAGGCTTGGATGGGATGGAGTCAGCAGTACAGTACTATGTATCAGAGCAAACGTTCCAGCATGACCATGACCAGGTTGGAGTGCTGTGTATCAGAGTGAACGTTCAAGGATGAGGGTTGGTTTGATGTATTCAGGAGTACTGTGTATCAGAGTGAACGTTCAAGGATGAGACTTGGATGGGATGGAGTCAGCAGTACAGTACTATGTATCAGAGCAAACATTCCAGCATGACCATGACCAGGTTGGAGTGCTGTGTATCAGAAAACATATCAAAGGGACGGCTGCAGATCAGCAGTTCATCCCGGCCTGGAATGGCCACCACTGTAACAGTAATTTGGAAAATGTTTGTGTGCGAATAATTGTAATTAAAAGTTGAATATGAAAGATAAGTTTCTGTTCATAAATCACTTCTGTATGTGTTTTTAAGACATAAATGTAATATCATGCTGTGATTTGCTTTTAGCCTATATATTTTTTTAATCAGCTTCACCCTTCTGAAGCATCAGCCAAGAAGACAGACAATGGGGAGTCTTTTCAGAGGACAGCTCAAGAGGAGCAATCGGATGAGATTGACATTGTGTAAGTTCCTTCTCTGTTTAATAATATTTATGGTTATAATATTTAAAAAATGATGACGAGTAGTTGATCCGTACAATGTAAGTAGATTCTCTTTGGATTTTCTTTGCCATGAAAGCAGTGGAGAGAGAGAGAGTTTAGACAGAGAGGAACAGTGTCAGTGGTGTATTTAAACAGAATAGCATTAACACTTGGAGGTTGGAGAGTTATGCCTGTTATGTTGTGTTCTCTAGACAGTGGTATGTGTATTACATGTGACTATGAGTGTTGTGAGTTGTCTAAACAGCAATATTTTTGTGCTACAGCCAAGTCCTGCCAGCCAAAGACAAGACCGACAGACTGTTTATAAAGACAGCAGTAGATCCAAATGCTGAGAAGCCAAGTGAGTTCTACAACCTGTAGTTTGTCAGTTTATGCCTTACACAGCAATGATCTTGCTATCGCAGACAGCAGTCCGTGAAGTTTATTTATACTATTTTTTCCCAGAAGAATCCTCAATGGCCAGTGTTTCCGTTTACCGGTAATTACCGGTATTTTACCGATAAATATGCCCTGTACCGGTAATTTCAAACGCTGTCGGTTCAGTGTAGCGGTAAAAATCATATACAGTTAAGTTGGCTATTAGACTAGTGGTGGTAATCATACGTTAAAAACATGCTGAGCAATAAAATCATCTGACTTTTTGGTCTCGTTTGTTGTCTTTTCACCACGGAAAAAAATTGATAATGGAAATCCCTCTGATGTATATACAGAAGTCACCAAAGTAACCTTGACATGCCGATGTTCCATAATTCTGATTGGCTGAGAAAGCGATTCGCAACAACTCGTGTTCTCTCTGTCTGGCGGAAAGATACTCAATGGCATTGAGTGGCTTATTGAATCCGCACTCGGCTCATATCCAACTGGGTTAGGGTTAGATAACTGGACATGTTTTTGATGGCCACAAGGACTTTCAGTTATCAAAGACGTCAGAATCAATTGGTTGGTTAAGATTATTGTCATAACAAAATATTGGGTAACCAGTAAACTTATAGGTGTAAATATTTATTAAGTGTGAGGATGAGTATAAGAAAGATGGCAATTTGCTGGAGTTTCGTACCATGGTACCGTGATTGGAGGTCAGCTTCGTGGTAACTTACAGCCATGTGCTGGTGTAGTGTGTGTCACAGTACCCAGATGGGAGACCACCTTGGTAGACTGACTTACAGCCATGTGCTGGTGTAGTGTGTGTCACAGTACCCAGATGGGAGACCACCTTGGTAGACTGACTTACAGCCATGTCCTGGTGTAGTGTGTGTCACAGTACCCAGATGGGAGACCACCTTGGTAGACTGACTTACAGCCATGTCCTGGTGTAGTGTGTGTCACAGTACCCAGATGGGAGACCACCTTGGTAGATTGACTTGCAGCCATGTCCTGGTGTAGTGTGTGTCACAGTACCCAGATGGGAGACCACCTTGGTAGACTGACTTGCAGCCATGTGCTGGTGTAGTGTGTGTCACAGTACCCAGATGGGAGACCACCTTGGTAGACTGACTTACAGCCATGTGCTGGTGTAGTGTGTGTCACAGTACCCAGATGGGAGACCACCTTGGTAGACTGACTTACAGCCATGTGCTGGTGTAGTGTGTGTCACAGTACCCAGATGGGAGACCACCTTGGTAGACTGACTTACAGCCATGTCCTGGTGTAGTGTGTGTCACAATACCCAGATGGGAGACCACCTTGGTAGATTGACTTACAGCCATGTCCTGGTGTAGTGTGTGTCACAGTACCCAGATGGGAGACCACCTTGGTAGACTGACTTACAGCCATGTGCTGGTGTACTGTGTGTCACAGTACCCAGATGGGAGACCATCTTGGTAGACTGTCTTACAGCCATGTGCTGGTGTAGTGTGTGTCACAGTACCCAGATGGGAGACCACCTTGGTACACTGACTTACAGCCATGTGCTGGTGTAGTGTGTGTCACAGTACCCAGATGGGAGACCACCTTGGTAGACTGACTTCCAGCCATGTGCTGGTGTAGTGTGTGTCACAGTACCCAGATGGGAGACCACCTTGGTAGACTAACTTACAGCCATGTCCTGGTGTAGTGTGTGTCATGGTACCCAGATGGGAGACCACCTTGGTAGACTGACTTACAGCCATGTCCTGGTGTAGTGTGTGTCATGGTACCCAGATGGGAGACCACCTTGGTAGACTGACTTACAGCCATGTCCTGGTGTAGTGTGTGTCACAGTACCCAGATGGGAGACCACCTTGGTAGACTGACTTACAGCCATATGCTGGTGTAGTGTGTGTCACAGTACCCAGATGGGAGACCATCTTAGTAGACTGACTAACAGCCATGTGCTGGTGTAGTGTGTGTCACAGTACCCAGATGGGAGACCACCTTGGTACACTGACTTACAGCCATGTGCTGGTGTAGTGTGTGTCACAATACCCAGATGGGAGACCACCTTGGTAGACTGACTTACAGCCATGTGCTGGTGTAGTGTGTGTCACAGTACCCAGATGGGAGACCACCTTGGTAGATTGACTTGCAGCCATGTCCTGGTGTAGTGTGTGTCACAGTACCCAGATGGGAGACCACCTTGGTAGACTAACTTACAGCAATGTCCTGGTGTAGTGTGTGTCATGGTACCCAGATGGGAGACCACCTTGGTAGACTGACTTACAGCCATGTCCTGGTGTAGTGTGTGTCACAGTACCCAGATGGGAGACCACCTTGGTAGACTGACTTACAGCCATGTGCTGGTGTAGTGTGTGTCACAGTACCCAGATGGGAGACCACCTTGGTAGACTGACTTACAGCCATGTCCTGGTGTAGTGTGTGTCACAATACCCAGATGGGAGACCACCTTGGTAGATTGACTTACAGCCATGTCCTGGTGTAGTGTGTGTCACAGTACCCAGATGGGAGACCACCTTGGTAGACTGACTTACAGCCATGTGCTGGTGTACTGTGTGTCACAGTACCCAGATGGGAGACCATCTTGGTAGACTGTCTTACAGCCATGTGCTGGTGTAGTGTGTGTCACAGTACCCAGATGGGAGACCACCTTGGTAGACTGACTTACAGCCATGTGCTGGTGTAGTGTGTGTCACAGTACCCAGATGGGAGACCACCTTGGTGGACTGACTTCCAGCCATGTGCTGGTGTAGTGTGTGTCACAGTACCCAGATGGGAGACCACCTTGGTAGATTGACTTGCAGCCATGTCCTGGTGTAGTGTGTGTCACAGTACCCAGATGGGAGACCACCTTGGTAGACTGACTTCCAGCCATGTGCTGGTGTAGTGTGTGTCACAGTACCCAGATGGGAGACCACCTTGGTAGACTGACTTACAGCCATGTGCTGGTGTAGTGTGTGTCACAGTACCCAGATGGGAGACCACCTTGGTAGACTGACTTACAGCCATGTGCTGGTGTAGTGTGTGTCACAGTACCCAGATGGGAGACCACCTTGGTAGATTGACTTGCAGCCATGTCCTGGTGTAGTGTGTGTCACAGTACCCAGATGGGAGACCACCTTGGTAGACTAACTTACAGCCATGTCCTGGTGTAGTGTGTGTCATGGTACCCAGATGGGAGACCACCTTGGTAGACTGACTTACAGCCATGTCCTGGTGTAGTGTGTGTCACAGTACCCAGATGGGAGACCACCTTGGTAGACTAACTTACAGCCATATGCTGGTGTAGTGTGTGTCACAGTACCCAGATGGGAGACCACCTTGGTAGATTGACTTGCAGCCATGTCCTGGTGTAGTGTGTGTCACAGTACCCAGATGGGAGACCACCTTGGTAGACTGACTTACAGCCATGTGCTGGTGTAGTGTGTGTCACAGTACCCAGATGGGAGACCACCTTGGTAGACTGACTTACAGCCATGTCCTGGTGTAGTGTGTGTCACAGTACCCAGATGGGAGACCACCTTGGTAGATTGACTTGCAGCCATGTCCTGGTGTAGTGTGTGTCACAGTACCCAGATGGGAGACCACCTTGGTAGACTGACTTACAGCCATGTGCTGGTGTAGTGTGTGTCACAGTACCCAGATGGGAGACCACCTTGGTAGACTGACTTACAGCCATGTCCTGGTGTAGTGTGTGTCACAGTACCCAGATGGGAGACCACCTTGGTAGATTGACTTGCAGCCATGTCCTGGTGTAGTGTGTGTCACAGTACCCAGATGGGAGACCACCTTGGTAGACTGACTTACAGCCATGTCCTGGTGTAGTGTGTGTCATGGTACCCAGATGGGAGACCACCTTGGTAGACTGACTTACAGCCATGTCCTGGTGTATTGTGTGTCACAGTACCCAGATGGGAGACCACCTTGGTAGACTGACTTACAGCCATGTGCTGGTGTAGTGTGTGTCACAGTACCCAGATGGGAGACCATCTTGGTAGACTGACTAACAGCCATGTGCTGGTGTAGTGTGTGTCACAGTACCCAGATGGGAGACCACCTTGGTAGACTGACTTACAGCCATGTGCTGGTGTAGTGTGTGTCACAGTACCCAGATGGGAGACCATCTTGGTAGACTGACTTACAGCCATGTGCTGGTGTAGTGTGTGTCACGGTACCCAGATGGGAGACCACCTTGGTAGACTGACTTACAGCCATGTGCTGGTGTAGTGTGTGTCACAGTACCCAGATGGGAGACCACCTTGGTAGATTGACTTGCAGCCATGTGCTGGTGTAGTGTGTGTCACAGTACCCAGATGGGAGACCACCTTGGTAGACTGACTTACAGCCATGTGCTGGTGTAGTGTGTGTCATGGTACCCAGATGGGAGACCACCTTGGTAGACTGACTTACAGCCTTGTGCTGGTGTAGTGTGTGTCATGGTACCCAGATGGGAGACCGTCTTGGTAGACTGACTTACAGCCTTGTGCTGGTGTAGTGTGTGTCTCAATACCCAGATGGGAGACCACCTTGGTAGACTGACTTACAGCCATGTGCTGGTGTAGTGTGTGTCACAGTACCCAGATGGGAGACCACCTTGGTACACTGACTTACAGCCATGTGCTGGTGTAGTGTGTGTCACAGTACCCAGATGGGAGACCACCCTGGTGACTGACTTACAGCCATGTGCTGGTGTAGTGTGTGTCACAGTACCCAGATGGGAGACCACCTTGGTAGACTGACTTACAGCCATGTGCTGGTGTAGTGTGTGTCACAGTACCCAGATGGGAGACCATCTTGGTAGACTGACTTACAGCCATGTGCTGGTGTAGTGTGTGTCATGGTACCCAGATGGGAGACCACCTTGGTAGACTGACTTACAGCCATGTGCTGGTGTAGTGTGTGTCACAGTACCCAGATGGGAGACCATCTTGGTAGACTGACTTACAGCCATGTGCTGGTGTAGTGTGTGTCATGGTACCCAGATGGGAGACCACCTTGGTAGACTGACTTACAGCCTTGTGCTGGTGTAGTGTGTGTCACAGTACCCAGATGGGAGACCACCTTGGTAGACTGACTTACAGCCATGTGCTGGTGTAGTGTGTGTCACAGTACCCAGATGGGAGACCACCTTGGTAGACTGACTTACAGCCATGTGCTGGTGTAGTGTGTGTCACAGTACCCAGATGGGAGACCACCTTGATAGACTGACTTACAGCCTTGTGCTGGTGTAGTGTGTGTCATGGTACCCAGATGGGAGACCACCTTGGTAGACTGACTTACAGCCATGTCCTGGTGTAGTGTGTGTCATGGTACCCAGATGGGAGACCACCTTGGTAGACTGACTTACAGCCATATCCTGGTGTAGTGTGTGTCACAGTACCCAGATGGGAGACCATCTTGGTAGACTGACTTACAGCCATGTGCTGGTGTAGTGTGTGTCATGGTACCCAGATGGGAGACCATCTTGGTAGACTGACTTACAGCCTTGTGCTGGTGTAGTGTGTGTCATGGTACCCAGATGGGAGACCGTCTTGGTAGACTGACTTACAGCCTTGTGCTGGTGTAGTGTGTGTCATGGTACCCAGATGGGAGACCATCTTGGTAGACTGACTTACAGCCATGTGCTGGTGTAGTGCGTGTCATGGTACCCAGATGGGAGACCACCTTGGTAGACTGACTTACAGCCATGTCCTGGTGTAGTGTGTGTCACAGTACCCAGATGGGAGACCATCTTGGTAGACTGACTTACAGCCATGTGCTGGTGTAGTGCGTGTCATGGTACCCAAATGGGAGACCATCTTGGTAGACTGACTTACAGCCATGTGCTGGTGTAGTGCGTGTCATGGTTCCCATATAGGAGACTACCTTGGTAGACTGAGTTACAGCCATGTCCTGGTTTTGTGTCGAGGACAGTTCTCTTGTATCACATTATGAATCAGGATCTGGATCATTTTTGTTTCAAAATCATGTGTATCATAAGTAGCCGTTGTCTGATACCATTGTTGAAGATGTCATAACAAACCTATAGTCTTTAACAGGTCCAGCGCATTCATAATAAACTGAAATAAGTCATCATATTAATTGTGGATTTGTCCACACTTCTGGTTGTAATTGACTGTAGAATTGCCTCCCTTAGTCATCTGATCTGGTGATTGTGGGTTTGAATCTCTGATTTAACCTGACAATGATCTTTGGTTTATCACGGCCATATCTTTGTTCATGAAAACATCCACATCATGCATTATTTTCAATACTAAGATGCCTAGCGGTTAGAACAATCGAAAAACAACAACATTATCAGACAATAAAGGTATAGTTTTTTGATGACGTAACAATTGAATGACGTTATCCCGTCACTGCGAGATTCTAGTGTGCCTCCTCGTAATCGAACCATTTTACATTACGTCACAATGTAAGCGACGTCACGATGCAGGCCAGTTGATGCAGGTCAGTTGTCATCGCCTCGTACAACCACCTACAGTAAACTACTCCGTTGCATCCCGTTTCTTGGTTTGCACTTGCTTCACGCAGCTAACATCACTGGTGGAAACATTACGTTTATGTTTTACGACGGTTAAAATGTGTCAATTCGACTCACAAGTTTTCAGCGACACGGACACGTTCGCAATGTTTACATCCACAATGCAATCGTGGAATGTACTGACTACTCAGCTTCATCTGGATGTACTGATCTAAACTTACATTGGTAGTAGAAATGCGACGTTCATATTGCCCCATATGGTTTACGTTAATGACAGATGTAATTAAAATAATTCAGAGAAGATATTTAGTCGAAACGTAAACCGTCATCAAACTGTTGTCATTTGTTTTTTCTGGTAACTTTCGTAACGTAGGGGGCAGACACATCAATAGAACAGCTCACCAGTTAGCCCTGTGCGAGGATTCTTAATTTAGGTCACCAACACCGTCGTTTGTTTTCTGCCTTAAATTAATCGTAATTATGCTTAGAAAGTATTAAATTTGGCATCTTAGAAAAGAAATACAGTTTGTTCTACCACCATGTATAGTGTAATAAAGCACACTTTCGCCCTGAACTATTATAAAGCATAACTATAATAGTTCAGGGCGAAAGTGTGTTTATTACACTATACATGGTGGTAGAGTGAACTGTATTTCTTAAACCTAATACATTAATCTTTGATGTTGTTATATGTCTGTAATACAATGTTATTCTTACAGAAGCCACAAGATATTCATGTCTGGTGACAAATAGCACACCAACTAGAAAAGATGTCCGCTTAATGCCTGAAGTAGAGATTCCCAACTTTGTGACGGACAGGAAACAGACAGCTGCTCCCATCACGAAGGAGACAGTCCTGGACAGTGATAAAGACTCCTGTAAGTAGTGTTTGTTGTGTCATGAGTAGAATAGCAACTTTATGTGAACCCCAGCTGGGAGGAAACCCTAAACATGTACCCAAATTGTACTTCACTGAGACTTTAACACAAATATAAAGTTCATTTTAAAAAAATGTTATTGATGAGGTGTGGTGGGGTAGCCTGATGGTTACAGCATCTGCTTGTCACGCTGAAGACCCGGGTTCAATTCCCCACATGGGTACAATGTGTGAATGTCCCCTGCTGTGATATTGTTGGATATTGGTAAGACTAAGAGTGACATAAAAACTCACTCACTCGTCACCTTTATTTCTGTGACATGAGTAAAGATGAAATGAATCTTGGTAATATGATCCGACAAAATAAAGACATCAAAGGTATATTACTGAATGGCCAAGAGTATAACCTAGGCCAATATGCCGATGATACTCAACTTTTTCTTGATGGCTCCGGGGCTAGTCTGTAGGCAGATATGGAAACATTGAATATGTTTTATCAAATGTCTGGACTCAAAAAAAAAATTACCGCCTCCGTGGTGTAGTGGTTAGAGCATCCGCCCGGAGAGCGGAAGGTCGCGGGTTCGATCCCCGACCGCGTCATACCAAAAGACATTAAAATATGGTACTTGTTGGTCCCTGCCTGGCGCTCAGCATTAATGGGTACAAGGACTGGTCGGCTCGGAGTCTGTATAATGTGTCTGGGTGGGGTATTCATGCTTCACTGCAGCATGGTATCTCAGTGGGCTAGCACTATTAAACCAGCTTCAGTCTGGGCTAGTACAAGCAGCCGAACATACACATACACACGCATGCACGTCGTCATATGAGCGAAATATTCTCAAGCACGACGTTAACCCAATTTCACCTCACCTCACCTCTGGACTCAAAATGAACATTGAAAAGACTAAAGCTATCTGCATTGGCTCTATGGCAGGTAACAGGTTAAAGTTATGTGAACGCCTTGACCTTGATTGGCACTCTGGCAACTTTGAAATCTTTGGCATTACACTAAAATCAAATTTGCAAGACCTTTGGGTGATAAATACAAAAAGCGAATGGAAACAATAAATAGAATCTTGGCTTCATGGAAGCATAGATCATTAACTCTAATTGGAAAATTAACTGTGATTAAGACTTTAGCCCTCTCTACCTTAGTACATATTTTCTCTTCTCTTCTGAATCCCCCTCAAACATTTATTAAGAACATTATTATGGAATGGGAAGGTAAAAAGAACCTGTATGGTTAGGAAATATGAAGTAGGCGGGCTTAGAATGATTGATATTAATGCATTTATTCAAGCCTTGAGGTTATCACATTTAAGAAGATGTATTCAAAGTCCTAATTTCAAGAACCCAAGTTACTTTCCTATATAGATGAAATATTCACACTAAGTGCCATTGTTGATACTCATATTCACTGTATGAACCCTTATTGGCAAAGTGTGAAGGCTTGGGCAAACTATGTAAGAATAGAAAAAGAAATTTCTCCTAATATTAATGATATTTTGTCCCAACCCTTGTGGCGCAATCATCATTTTAAATATAAAACCTTTTTGATTAAACAATGGTATAGTAAAGGAATTTATTTTGTAAAAGACATATGTAGCAATAGTGGTCTAATGACTTTTGCTGAACTGAAGAATGTTTTTGATATTAGCGGTACGTGTTTAGATTACTAGTATCATAAATTGCTATGCTGCATTCCTCCTAGTTGACCCCACACGGGTACAATGTGTGAAGCCCATTTCTGTTGTCCCCCGCCGTGATGTTGCTGGAATATTGCTAAAAGCGGCGTAAAACCAAACTCAGTCAGTCAGTCCTCCTAGTTGAAAATATTGTATCAATGACCAAACATGTATCAATAATTCAAATGTGGTATTAGTAGTAAGCTAACAGACATTCTCAAACCTGGTAAGGGTTCTAGATTTTTCTGCGATTACATTATTGCTTGTGACGAGTTTCCACCTGTGTGTAACAAATGGGTTGAAAACTTCAATGTGGTTTTTCCTCCCTGGAAGGATATATTTCTTCATTATAGGTATTGCACCAAGGATGTTAAACTACTAGAATTCCAATTTTTAATATTCTTACATCGCATAATCTACACAAAAAAGGAACTAAAACAGATGAAACTAGCTGCTTCTGTAAAACTAACAGTGAAAGCTCATCACATGTTTTTCTAGAATGCGAGCATGTCAAAGAAATCTGGTTGAGTGTGGAATTATACTTGAACTCTTTTCTCAATGAAGAAATAAAAGTGACACTTTGTGCTATTCTTTTTGGTTTCCCAGCCAAATTTAATTTAATTAACCACTTACTCTTGTTATGTAAAAGACATGTATTCTTAAGTAGTCTTAAAAGTACAACCCTTTCAGTTGAAACAGTAATAAAAATGTTCAAACAGATATATTTTATTGTAAAAAATGGCTTCCTCTGTCAGACATCTATGAAGATGTCACCTGACTTTATGTCTTTCAAAAACATTATACCCCGGTTTGATCATTCTTATAATACGCTTTGTGTCTATATGCTTTGGCTGTATAGTTCTTATCCATTTATTTTTATATTTTTTTTCTTTTTTATTTTTTTAACTTTCACTTTCACATTTCCATGGTGTCTGACATTAAAGTGGTGCCTTTTGCATTTCACAGATTTTTGGCATTTGTCTTTCGCTTTGAATGTATTTGCCATAACCCTGTAACATTATTCATTCACTTTGACAATGATTTGTCACCCATTTGTATGTGAACATTGTCAGTGATTGTTTGAACTCAGAACTGATGCTCATTCGCTACTCATTTGTATCCATTGTCAATGATTTCAGACCTGCTTGTAACCTGATTTGCTGGAATAAATAAATAAATAAATAAATAAAAAAAAAAAATAAATAAATAAATAAATAAAAATAGATGAAATGAATCAATTTGTTTTTCAGCGGATTCTGACTCTGATGAGGAGCAGTCACAAGGGCAGCCCAAAACTACTGATTTTAGAAACATCGCACAAGGCCAGAAGGTCAAGGTGTATGCCGTCAAGGACTTCAGTGCTCGTGCCACAGATGAGATCTCATTCAAAGCAGGTATGTATGTCTAGTCAGACAAGCCAATCAAGCTAACATTCAATTCCCTGATCTCCACAACCTATATCGCTCATTAGAAGTAAACTGATGGAGGTGGTATGAGCTTTAGCATTTTGTACAAGTGTACTGCTCTTGTATGGCGACATGCATGAATGTGTTTGGCTGCTTGTACTGGTCTAAGTTTTATAGTGCCGGGTGATATTTAGTCTGTCTCACAGTCCCTGAACACCATTATTTCACCTTCCGCCCATCCCTTTCTGATTGCTAAAGCCCTAAATGAAGCATGTCAAGATTTCCTGAGTTTCAGCCTTTGAATCTCTCCATCTCACTGGGACTCTTTTTCAATTTGAAGGGAATTGTTTGTTTGTATCAAAATTATGTATATTCAGAGACAAAGCACCAGTCTAGGCGGCGTACAAAACGATCTTAGCACTAAGGTGATTGTAACTATCATACCTTAACATACACTTACGACTGTTGTAGTGCTAAGGTTACAGCGGCACACTTATCCACTGAGTTACAGTGGTCTAACATTCATATCTTCAGACAAAGTATTCTGACAGAAACCTACAATTCCTTGCTTTACCATGTTTATGTTGAGAGCCAGACAAGGTAATAACAAGCTCTACAGTTACCTTTTAGTTTTGGGTAAGACATGGAAGGGATGAACCCCTAACTGGCACTCCCATGGACCTTCCTGTGCTCAACCTTCTGCTACGATGGAGACTACAGACTGAATTGGTTGTGAGGAGGACCCAATATATTTTCTTTTCTGTTTTATCAAACAAACTCTTCAATAGGGTATTGAACAGTTTGTTTGAAAGATTAAAATATATTGAGTTCACACAAGCTGTTGATGAATTGGATTCATGTAAAGATGAATGTTTTTGGACAATGTATCCAGTGTATTTCTGTCAATAAAGAGAGAAGACAGGGATCATTGTGACATTGCGATTTCTTCATCAGTAGCTATTTGATGTCAATAAAGAGATGTGGGATGGTGTTTGATAGTTGAGACAGGGGAATGAATGAAAAGCTGATCATTGATTTACATCAGCATTAATAGATCTTTCATAGAATCAACAGTATTATTTATACAACCATGTGCTTTACAAAAGCTCAATACCAGTGCTTATGAACTCAGGAAAACAATATTGACCAAAGCTGTATAAGGTCAATGACTGACTGACTGAGTTTGGTTTTACGATCTTTAGCAATCTATTCCAGCAACATCGCTGTGGTAAGTGAGTATAGGGGATCACCTTAGAAATGGGTATAGGAGTTACACATTGTACCCATGTGGGATTCGATCACCTTAGCCTTCACGACTGTGGTAAGTCTATTCTTCGTGTAAGAGTTACTGATTATAGCGCATCACGCTACGACTGTTTCTATTTTATACCATTTAGATCACCTTACCCCACTGTGGTAAGTCTATGTTATAGTATATTGACCAAAGATGTATAAGGTCTATATGTTATATAGGAGTTGCATCACCTTAGCGCCTTTCGACTATTGTTTTATAGGAGTTACGATCACCTTAAGTTGACTGTCTATGTTATAGTATAGGAGTTGCTCACCTTAAGAGACTGTGGTAAGTCTATTTTATAGTATAGGAGTTACCATTAGAGACACTGTGTAAGTCTATTTTATAGTATAGGAGTTACAATCACCTTAGCTACTACTGTGGTAAGTCTATTTTATAGTATAGGAGTTACGATCACCTTAAGCTATTAAGTCATTTTATAGTATAAGAGTTACAATCACCTTAGCGCTACGACTGTGGTAAGTCTATTGTATAGTAGCACGACTGTGGTAAGTCTATTTTAAAGTATAAGAGTTACGATCACCTGTCGTAAGTCTATTTTATCTATGTTAGTATAGGAGTTACACCTCATCACCTGTAAATCTATGTTAAAGTATAGGAGTTACAATCACCTTACTTATAAAGCTTTGCTGAAAGTCTATGTTAAAGTATAGTACCCTGGTGTTTCATTTTTCAACTGAATTTTCACTCTCAAACTGTGGTAAATCTATGACATTCCCAACTATCAAAGTAGATTGTATTTTTTTCACCTGTGTTGTCTTATGTTTAAATATTTCAGCAAAACGATTAAGTTTACTATCGGACAAGGATGCCAGTTTATTAAGTTTACTATTGGACACGGCTGCTATTTTGCTAAGTTTTCTATGAGACACGGACGCCTTTTTTCTGTTGTCACAGGAAGATTTTCCTGTTTGAAGAAGACAAACTGACTAATGGCAGTTTCAGCCCATGTTCCAACAATCATTAAGTGAATAGCTTGCCAGTTTTCCTGATATGTTATATTTGGACTATTTCAGGACGTAAGATCTATGTGACTGAATCTGCTGTTGCCGGACGTGTGTATGGATACACCAAGAAGGGGAAGCTGATCAAGAGGAGGACATACGGCTACTTCCCCGAACAACTCGTGAGCACCAACAAGACGTTCAAGGTCAAGCAGACCTTCCTGAAGAAGAAGCTCTCCAAGCACGTTCCCCATGATAGTTCCAAGAACATCAGCTTCCTGGGGAACTCTGGGTAGACAGCTTGCAGACATTCTCCATGTCTCCAGGACTAGCATCTCGGTAAACCTGCACCAGCCACTGGATCCATTCCTGCTGTTCTTGCAGTGTGAATTACCAGCCTTTGATTTTCATCAACATTCTACCAGTTATTAAAATGTCAGTATGGGGAAATGTGTAAACGAGGTAATTTCGTAATGCTTAGAAACAGCCAGTCCAGCGCCAGTGTTAATGGGCATGAAGACATCTTTTCCATCTAAGAGTCTGTTTGGTGTTTCTCTTGCTTGTCAAATTTTCCAAATTTTTGAATTCCGCCCTAATCCATCATAATCAGTTGGACTGGTTGCTATGTTGTTGATGTTGCCAACCCGACATTGAGGCTACTTTGTAACTTCCATACTGATTGGTACATTAGACCTTGTACCATAGCCAATCAAATTGGCAAATTGAAATCAAGGGAGGTAACTTGTGATTGCAAGAACCACAGGACTGTATCCTGGGGTTGATGTAGGTTTAACTAAATGCTGTCCTGGAGATAGAAAGGATCACCCCTAACAGACTTGGTTATGAACTTGATATTGACTTCAAACTGTGATATGATTTTTTTATATTTGTTGATTTGATTGTTACACAGATATATTTTTTACTGTTCTTATATGAACGAAGTGATCTGTGATGCGTCTTTGATAATATTTTAGGATATACATAGGAATGATCATTGGTGATTTATTGAGAATTTTATTACCATGCTCAGATATTCAGCGTTTAATGATGAACTGTGTGAATGAATGTTATGGATGAAGATATGAATTGTGTCTTTAATGTATGTTTTTCCTCAGAACATATGAGTTACAATAGGACAAGAAACTTATAATTTCCGTGTTAAAGTTGTAATTACTAGTGACATCATTCAATTTACTGGTTCACACTTTTATCTGTGGTTACATTTGCTAGCCTGTAGAGCTGTGTATCACCTGATATCTCGTGATACGATACAGACTGATAACCCCAAAGTCACTACACAGCAACAGATAGAAAGGAATGATGAAATCACTGACGTACGCAGGATGTTTTCTCAGAAGTGTTGATACGTTTGTCCATTTCCATCTGTGAGACAGAACAGCTTCACACAATATGTGGGGTGGTGGGGTAGCCTAGTGGTTAAAGCGTTGGCTCGTCACACCGAAGACCCGCGGGTTCGATTCCCCACATGGGCACAATGTGTGAAGCCCATTTCTGGTATCCCCCGCCGTGATATTGCTTGAATATTGCTAAAAGCGGCGTAAAACTAAACTCAGTCAGTCAGTCAGTCACACAATATGTGTGCAACAGCTTTCTGATTGAGGAGTTTTCAACCCAAACTGAAGACTTATACATGCTATCGGTACATCCAGTATTACCAGGCCCTCATGTTCAATATACACCAGTGGCACTATTCCGTTCCATCAGGACCATCAGTTCCTGTTCTATTTGTACATAGCGCAATCTCACAAAAGGATGGTAGTTTACCAGTGTATGGATGACTCACAGGTATCAGAGAATCACTACAGCCACATTTACATATAAATTGTTTAATCAGTGATTACCTTCAAGATATTGGCAGATGACTTTGGATTAGTTGGTGCCTGGCTTCGTTATGGAAGATACTGGTTGGGACTGTTAAAGGCTTACCCAGTAACAGTGTACCATATATTATAGATCAGTCAAGTGTTCAGTGAACCTCAGTGTTGCAGGAGTGATACTTCAATGATAGAAGCCACCAGACCACACTAGTTACATTATATGGAAAGTTGGGCCTGGCTTTGTTATGGAACATATTGGTTGGGAAAGTAAATCCTCTCAATGCTGCTGTCGAACCAGGACAGGAGAGTAGCATAATGACATCCCCATGCATAACTTGCAATAACTTTTTACCAAGTAGGATTTACATGTCAGATAAATTATGTATGGAATGTGTAAAAGCTGTTTGAAAACACTCAGCCTTTTCACAGCACCACATGCTGAAATTCGTTCAGCAGGCTAAAGGTTTAAGACTAAGTCAGGTGTTGAGGAAACCACAGTGTTGGGGAGGGGGGATGGTTCCAGCAGTGATACCTCAATAACAGAAGTCACCCAAGCAATGCGTCATCCCACCAGTGGGAACTAAACAGATGTTTCCCACCCCAAGATGATCCCCGGGTCTTCAGGGTGGTGAGTGGATGCTTTAACCATAAGGCTACCCCATCGACCCTGGGAACATTAGAAACTTCACAGCAACAAGACAGATCTATGAATTCTCACAACAAGAAGATCTTCCAACATGGGAGATGAAAAGGAGACATCAAGTTCCTCCTTTGTTTCAGGGATTGATGTAGACTGTAGTTTGGTTTAGGAAGGGGGACGACCGACACTTTCTTGGACAGACGTTTCTTTTTTTTTCTCCCTTCGACGAATCCCCTCCCTCCTCTTCTGAAGCTGCTGCAGTTTACTTGAGCGATGGTGAAGGTTCATTGGCAGGAACCTGATGTTGACCTTAAGTCACACATGTTGGAAGATCCTGTTGCTGTGAGAATACATAGATCTGTCTTGTTGCTGTGAAGTTTCTAATGTTCCCAGGGTCGATGGGGTAGCCTTATGGTTAAAGCATCCACTCACCACCCTGAAGACCCGGGGATCATCTTGGGATGGGAAACATCTGTTAGTCCCCAATAGCGGGATGACGCATTGCTCTGGTGGCTTCTGTCATCGAAGTATCACTGCTGGAACCATCCCCCCTCCCGAACACTGTGGTTTCCTCAACACCTTACTTAGCCTTTAACCTTTAGCCTGCTGAACTAATTTCAGCATGCGGTGCTGTAAAGAGGCTGAGTGTTTTCGAACAGTATTTATGCATTCTGTACATCATTCAAATGACACGTAAATCCTCCTTGGTAAAATGTTATTGCAAGTTATGTATGGGGATGTCATTATGCTACTTTTCTGTCTAATTGGTTCAACAGCAGCATTGAGGAGATTAACACTCCCATCCAATATGTCCTATAACAGACTCAGGTTCGATTTCCTACATGGGTACAATGTGTGAAGTCCATTTCTGGTGACTCCTGTTGTTATCTTGCGGGAATATTGTTAAAAGTGTTACAAAACCTCACTCACTCACTATAAGTATTTAATATATGGTACAGGCAGATTTAAATGGATAAATTGATCAATGTTTAATATTTATGTAATTGTTCACCAGAAATCTTGTTTATTATGGAAATATTTCAAGTCATCTACCAGTTTCTTGTTATGTCCATGTTATGAATATGTTATTTGCCTTATATGTCGTTTTCGCTTGCCTTTATTATGATATAGGAAACAAATTCCAACATATTTGTTCAAATATAGGGAAAAAAGTAAAAAGACTGAAACTGAAGTAAACATGTTTTTTGTTATTGATAAAGTGCTGACATGTATTTGTGAAAGTATTGACTTTGTTATTGATGATTTTGATGTCTTTACAATAGTCTAAATATACATGTTTTGGATCTTTTTGAGGAGCTTTACTCTCCAACTGGTGCTGATCTCTCACAAGATTGTTGATAGATGAATGGAGATGATGATGATGATGATGATGATAATGGAATGTATTATGATATGCTTGTCAATCTAATGAATAGGAGATCTTGTACTTAGATGTACATATCTGAATGTACTAAGCAGTCAAGTACTACTGGTAGTTACACTGTACGCTCAATGATAAGTTATGATAACTTTGCCTTACTCAAGGTGATATACGGTAGATGTTGAAGTAAGATAGATATACGAGTGACAATGGGCACATAACCTTATCAACCTCATATAGCACAGCCATGGTCCTTTTGCCATGATCATATGCAGTTATACACATGGAAGGTGATAGTATTCATGATAATAATACTAGTATTACATATAGCACATGTATATCATGATGATTATGTTCATAATTTGCAGTGGTAATTATTGGTGATGGTTATGTGCATGTTAATAATAAGGCCATTATATAGCGCTGAACTCCACTCCAAGCACATACAATGTAAGGGTAAGGTTTATACATGTAGTCGTATAACTTATCCCACCGGGTACCCATTTTCTACTGGCGGAATAGAATATATACATATGATTTTGTGCAGGCTGTTTTGCAGAAATTTTGCAATGATGAGAATGATACTTGTTGTTATGACAGTTATACAGATAATGTTAACTCATTTCGCAGACCCGCTGTTGTGGAATGTAACCCCAGTCACAGATGCACTGAGACTCTGAAACATTTCACACATTTTTAGAATGTATCTCTTTTTGGAAGCCTATAAGCATTATACAGTTTTGTTTCAAGTGACCTTTTTTCTCATTAGAGTTGTGTGCATTGATTTAATATTTAATGCAGTAATTATAACTGATTTCATGAACACGTCACTTGTATATTATCTTCAAAAGGAACATTACAACACCGAAACCTTCTCTATCTCCAATTTTGTTTTCTACATTTAGCTTGTTTGATTCATGTCAAAATCATTCACCTTAAAAATATTAAAATGGTAAAAGTGAATCTCATAACATGTTAGCTAGGCAAGCCCTTAACATCATGCAAATATATTAGTGCTCATGTAGACCGTTGATTGGATGAATAGTTCAGGGTTTTACACAGATGATGATGGTGTTGAGGATGATGATGATGTGACTGATGGTTATATTGATATACTTGTTTACAGAAACAATCCCATCAGTCAACATGCAACCAGACAAAATTGTCCAGGTAACAAATTCTGGATATATGGGCCATGGAGTCATTCCCCTTTGTACATCCCAGACATATCCAAGTGTAATTTTCCAGCGTTTCCACATGAACTCAATGATGACTAACGGTTATCTACTATGTATGTCATTGAATCTCTATGGGTTATAAGTGTTGGAAATTCACCAATATTCATGAAGGTTTTGGAGTTCGTCTGTAGATGACATATGTTAATATACCACAACTTTACAATCTGTTAAATGTGGTATATCAGGCGATACAATTACTTGTATTAATCTGTTACAGATCATCATCAATAAAACTCTAAAATATTTATATGTTTACATTTTCATTGAATGGAGTCCATCCATGTTAGTTTTGCAAGTAACTGAGTGCCCCATGCCATATACACTTTAGTTTTACTGTAAATGGTCGAAAGGTGCAAAGAGATTTGAAAAGGAATGCTTAATGAAATGTTCCTTCAGACTTGGAAAACACCCAACAATACTTTTCTGCAATAATGAGTGCCTGTAAATAATCTAGTCTAGACCAGACAGTACAGTGATTGACATCTTTTTATCTTTTTCTTTTGTTTGTTGTTTAACGCCATACTCGGCAATATTCCGACGAGTCTGGGCCAGACAATCCAGTGATTCACATGATGAGCATTGATCTTCGCAACTGGGTACGTGCATCAACCAAGTTGGTTATCCTGACCACACGATCCCCTAAGTCGCCTCTTAGGACAAGCATGGGTTGCTGAAGACCAGTTCTATATAACATGTTATATTTGGGATTACAGTTTCTCAGTAAAGTACAGATTCAAGTACTTTTTGGGTTGAGTCCCATCCGGGATTCGAACCCACACCCTCAGAGTCAGGCACCTAATCGCCAGCACACAAAGTCAGACGCCTAGACCGCTCAGCCACCGCGGCTTCCACAAGAATGGAAGTCGGACAACTGGTAGTCTAGACTGCGGACTTTGTGTACCCCTCTGATAAGTGTTCTATATACCTTATAGGAACACACACACACACACACATCACGGGTATGGTGCTTACAAATAATTGATGTGAACAATTAAAGGATTCTGGTGTGCCGAAGGGATGCGAATTGCAGGACCCAAGACCACTGGGGTTCTGTCCAATTTACAAGAAATAGAAAAATAATTGCGACGTTTTGATCGATTCTTACAGTGCTATACAGCTCGATAACAGTGTAACAGTCGACATTGAATCATTGCTAGACGTAATAAACGAGTATGTGAACGATATTATAAGGGTAATGCTATTTTTGAGGGCATTTTCATTTGCAGAAGCCCGAGGTCTTCCATTAACTGCCCGACGAAGGAGGACAGTTGAAAAAGACCGAGGGCTTCTGCAAATGATAATGCCGTCAAAAATAGCATTACCGTTATTGCTAAAATACATGGAATTT